ATTTTCCAAATGCCAAGTGTTTAGGATGTCATTTTCATTTTTGTAATTGCCTTTGGAAAAAAGCAGGAAAACTTCATGTACGCAATATATTAAATAATGATGGTAACAAACATTTTCTTGCATCATTTTTTGCACTGCCGCTAATTCCAAAGGATCATATTCAATTTATTTTTGATGATTTCCAGTTTAATGTTCCACAACATCTTAATATTGTACGTTTTATAAAATATGTAGAAAATTGGATAACTGGTGCAATTTTTAGTCCAGATATATGGAATTTATTCGACTTCATAGGATTACGTCCACGTATCAACAATCCTATTGAAGGTTATCATAATAAGCAAAACAGGTAAGCGAAGATGTTCAAATTCGTGGTAGTAACCATTGTCCATTTTTGGTAACTTTAGATATGTAACAGCTAATCCAAATATACTTCATTGGATTAATTCAATACAAAAAGAAGAGACCAATGCTGCAACGAGACTTTTGCAAGAAATACAAGATTTCTCATCAACGAAGCCAATGGGATGTAGTCGTGAAGAATTGAAAATGAATTAATCCGTGCTAAGTACCAATATTTGCGTGGATGTATAGATTTTCAAGAGTATTTTAATGTTGCTCGAAAACCGTGTTATAGAATTTTGTACAGTTTGTCAGGTGATCTTTTAAACAAAGAAGTTTCGGATGCGGAAGCTTGAATATGTATTTTGTTAATATTCTTTATAATAACAAAATCACTACGTGTTAGCATCTATTGCAGTGGCTATTTGTTCTCTTTCGAGAGTATACTATTTGAAAATGTTCTCCTTTGAGATAGATTAGAAAATATTGTTCTCCTTCAAGAGTGCACAGTTTCAAATTGTTCTCATTTGAGATTATGTGCAAACGACTGTTCTCCTTCGAGAGTGCATGGTTTATAAATGTTCTCACTTGAGAAATTGTTAAGAAAATTGTTCTCATTCGAGAGATCACCAATTTTATATATTCATCAAATGTTCATCTTTTAAAAAGGAGGGAGTGCTCACTGTAAAAATATTTCGTATTGCACCAACTTCGCGAACTACAATTACACTAATTAGAGAAGATCCATTTCCTATTTTTATACTAGTTTAAAGTACACGAGTTGTACACGATACTGATCTATTTTTTCGAAAAGGATTCCTTTTAGTCTTTGAGAAATATGGCTGTGAATATCGTCGATTATCCTCTAGAAAACCAAGTTTGTGAGACAAGCAAAAGAAGTCTCTGCAAATCGAGCAAGAAAAAGCTTAATTTTTTAGAGGATAATCAACAATAATCACAGCCATATTTCTCAAAGACTAAAAGGAATCTTTTTCGAAAAAATAGATCAGTATCGTGTACAACTCGTGTACTTTAAACTAGTATAAAAATAGGAAATGGATCTTCTCTAATTAGTGTAATTGTAGTTCGCGAAGTTGGTGCAATACGAAATATTTTTACAGTGAGCACTCCCTCCTTTTTAAAAGATGAACATTTGATGAATATATAAAATTTGTTCTTTTCTGATTTTATTCTTTAAGCAGAAAAACAGAAAAATGTGTGCTCTTATAATGATGTTTATTAAAAAAACAAATACATTGGAAGTATATATGTATGTGTTCACGATACAATCAAAGGAACCGAAATTAAACAAAATAAAATAGAATAGAATTTAAATTTTGATATGCTCCCAAATCAATATAAAGGATTACTAAATAAAAAATGTAGTCGAATAAGAACAAAATTTTATAAAAGTATCACTAATTTTATAGATTTGTGGTGCTATTTGATATTGATTTGAAATTCTTCTGTTTTACCCTAATATTTAGATCT